GCCAGAGAACCATCAGTGGAAGTGTAGCCAGAGAACCATCAGTGGAAGTGTAGCCAGAGAACCATCAGTGGAAGTGTAGCCAGAGAACCATCAGTGGACGTGTAGCCAGAGAGCCATCAGTGGACGTGTAGCCAGAGAACCATCAGTGGAAGTGTAGCCAGAGAGCCATCAGTGGAAGTGTAGCCAGAGAACCATCAGTGGAAGTGTAGCCAGAGAGCCATCAGTGGAAGTGTAGCCAGAGAACCATCAGTGGAAGTGTAGCCAGAGAGCCATCAGTGGAAGTGTAGCCAGAGAGCCATCAGTGGAAGTGTAGCCAGAGAACCATCAGTGGAAGTGTAGCCAGAGAGCCATCAGTGGACGTGTAGCCAGAGAGCCATCAGTGGAAGTGTAGCCAGAGAGCCATCAGTGGGAGTGTAGCCAGAGAGCCATCAGTGGACGTGTAGCCAGAGAGCCATCAGTGGACGTGTAGCCAGAGAACCATCAGTGGACGTGTAGCCAGAGAACCATCAGTGGAAGTGTAGCCAGAGAACCATCAGTGGAAGTGTAGCCAGAGAACCATCAGTGGAAGTGTAGCCAGAGAGCCATCAGTGGAAATGTAGCCAGAGAACCATCAGTGAAAATAGAGCCAACATGGATTTAGAGTGGGAAGAAAATGTTTTTTGCATTTAATCGACCACTGACAAAATCACGGTAGCATGAGGATAACAAAATGTAGATGTGGTATACACTGACCTTGTGCTGGCATTTGATAAATGTGACCATGAAGTGATGGCACAAAATTAGATGAACTGGATTAACAGGTAGAGCAATGGATATTAAATTTCTGTCAAACAGAATGCAAAGTGCAACACTCAAAATAAGTCCAAGCTCAGTAAAACACACTGTACTGCTGAGCACAGCCCTTGCACCACTGCTTTTTCCTTATTTTCTTATCAGATATAGATAAAAGATACATTATAACTTCATGTCATCTTTGGTAGATATACAGTAGTACAAAAATCAGCATGAAAATTACTTGGATAGAAAACACTGAAAAACTAAAGCCTAATATTAATAAAGTTTTTGATTAGGTAGTGGAAAATAACATGTTTAACAGTGATAAATTCCAGCTGCTTAGGCATGGAAAACTAAACACCTTAAACAAAACACAGGGTACAAGATGCAATCAGATCTACCCATAGCAGGAAAGCAATATGTAAAGGATTTGGGAATAATGATGTTTCATGACCTAAGATTTAGGTAGCATAATCAAGCTACCAAAGTGTCAGCTAGAAAATCGATTGGATGGATTATGAGAACATTCAAATCCAGGGATCCTATCACAATGCTCATACTATTCAAATTACTTGGGATGTCTCGCCTTGAGTACTGTTCAATACTCACTTCCTCCTTCAGAGCAGGAGAGATTGCTGAAATAGAGGGAATACAGAGAACATTTACGGAACACAGACACGATAAAGCACCTAATGTTTTGCACCATCTCAAAGCTCTCTGGAAAGACGAAATAGGTATCACATAATATACTGTATACCATACATGGATAAAACTGGAAGGTTAAGTACCAAAAACTCCCAGAACCCTCTCCAAGTAAGATCCAGGTAAGAACCACCAGCGGGACTGCAGCTAACGAACCACCAGTGAAAGTGTAGCCAATGAACGACCAGTGAAGGTGTAGCCAACGAACCAGCAGCAGGAGTGTATGATTACATTCACCCAAAGTATTGCCGGGAGTACTCTGGATAACAACCAATCATCTCGACTAATTCATCTCATTTTGTATGATGTGCTACCCAACCTGCAAATTTCAAAGTACCAGTACAGTATATGAAAAGCAGCTGCTCACAAATATCCATATTTTCTGTGTGTTATTAGGTTAGGTGGCTTGCTTGGGTTTGTACTTTTCTGGTTAGCTTCAAACTTTGAATTTTGTACACAGGAAAATCAAAAGAACAGGCTGGCCTGTCACGTGGGAGATCAGGGGTTCGATTTCCTGCCAGGAAACCAGTGTTGTAATGGCAAAATCTAAATTAAAAAATTATATTTTTTAATTTACTTATGGTCCACTTATGGATGTCAACGAGCAAACTAACATTAAACATCGAAAAGACTTACTACATCTTATTTGGAAGCAAATCATCAAATGCAATTCAGCTACAGATAGACAACATTAACATCAGTAATAAAAATGATGGCAAGTTTCTTGGCCTATTCCTAGACAAGAGACTCAACTTCAGCACCCACATTCAACACATAACTAAGAAAGTCTCTAAGACAGTTGGTATACCCTCCAAAATCAGATATTATGTTCCTAACTCTGCTCTCCTCTCACTATATTATGCACTAATCTACCCCTATCCTAATTATGGTATCTGTGCATGGGGGTCTACCACTGCAAACCACCTTAAGCCCATCATCACACAGCAAAAATCTGCTATCAGAATTATAACTAACTCTGCTTTCAGACAACACTCAGCTCCCTTGTTTAAATCCCTAAACTTGCTAAATATTAACTCCCTCCACACATTCTCTTGTGTCAACTACATTTACAAAACCCTGTTCTTAAATGCAAACCATGCTCTGAAACTCTCCCTGGACAGATGTAATAGGACCCATTATCACCACACCAGAAATAAATATCTCTTTGATATCCCCAGGGTCAAACTTAATCTGTGTAAACACTCTATGCAAATTAAGGGACCTAGTCTATGGAACTCACTCCCTAGTGAATTGAAAAACTGTAAAACTTTTGCCTTATTTAAAAGCAAAACCAAAAAGTACCTAACTTCATCTTCTTAGTTTCCTACACTGAGCTTTAAATTTGCTCTGTACCTAGTGTTACCCAATCTCCTAATTTTTATGTAATATCAAACAACCTTATCATTGTGTTCATTGCTGTCTTCTTTTATGTGCTAGCCATATGCTGTATTGTGACTACCAATTTTTGTCAACTACCATTCAAGCTGTCATTGCAATCAATCTTATATTGTTTCTGCTGTATTGTGCCTACCAATTTGTTGTCAACTACCATTTTAAGCTGTCATTGCAATCAATCTTAGCTACCTATGTGCTTTAATATACTGTACCTACAATTTTCTCTCATCTTTTTTTTTTTTTTTTTCATTTCATGTAATCTGTTATCATTTTTTTGTCTATAAATTTTGCAAGTATTTACCTCCTTAAAATTTTCTTAGATTAAGGACCTGCCCGAAACGCTGCGCGTGCTAGTGGCTTTACAAGACTGTAATTACCATATTTGTATCCTCACATTCCTTATGTACATTCTTGTATATGCATAAATAAATAAATAAATAAATAAATATGGGTGCATGATTAACAGGAATTTAAAGACAAAACACTAATGCATAGTGTTCGGAGTAAAGCAAATAGGATACCGTGATTTCTTTCTAGAAGTGTTAGAAATAAAATAAAGAATTTTATTCTTCGGCTGTATCTTTCTCTTGTTAGGGCCCATTTAGATTATGCGGGTTTAATTTTTGTCGCCATACTATAGAATGGACAAATTCATTTCAACAAAGGCTGGCAAAGTTAATCCCAGGAAATGCAAACCTTCCATCCAAAGAGATTTTTAGAAAGCTTAATTTACTTTCTCTGGAACGGCAAAAAGCTAGAGGTGACATAACTGAAGTGTATAAATGGATGAAAGGGCACAATTAATATGGTATTAAATATGTCAACACAAAACAATGGATATACAGTAAATTGTAAAAATTTAGATTGAGGAGAGACCTGGGTAAATACTGGTTTGGAAACAAGGTTGTTGATGTGTGGAATAAATTACTGGACAATGTAATAGAAGTGGGATCACTTGCTTGACTTAAGAGTATGTTGGACACATTAATGAGTTTGGGTAGATGTTATATAATTATGTAAATATATTCTATAAATAGGATCTACCTCCTATAAGACAATAGGGATTCTGCAGAGTCCTTAATTCATCTCCTCTTATAGTCTTAGTGGGAGAAAGAGCATTGCCCTTGCTTCCTCATACAGGAGTCTCCATGGGTGACCAAGGCCTAAGAATCTACTTGTCGAGTCAAAACTATTGCCACACCAAAATTCTTTTAAGTCGAGAAAGGTTTAACTTTCCTGTACAGGCAACTCCAAGGGATGCAGAGGTACTTTTTAAAATACAGTACATGATGACTTGTATGACAGAAGCAGCTGCACAAAGCTTCTTTTAGTTGGTATTCTTATTGAAAATATTATGGACATTTGAGCCTACAAGTATGGCGAGTAGTATGTTGGGAAACACCAGTGGTGGTGGGCTCTATAAGTAGATATTTAGAGGATACTGTTCCCCCTTAGCTCATGGAGATCTATTCTAGATAACAAAATATTGGTAACTATGTTAAGCAGAAGCAAACTCGCCCAGATATTTTTCTACAAAAAACTTCTAATATGAATCATGCCTTATTAACCAAAGGTAAAATTTATTATATTAATAATTACTGCTTGGTTTGGCTACATTAATTTTCAGCTATACTATATAGTTTATCGTACTGGTTTAAAGCATATTTTTAAGTCGTCTAATCTCCAATTTATATTCATACAAATACAGTAATGCTTTTTATTAAACATCATTAACTAATAACTTCATTTTGACATTCAATATCTGTATTAATATAGTTAATACAGAGTGTTCTAGGCAATTATCTAACTACTCTAATCAATATAAACAATTCTTCAACATTAATATATATATAATACTAGTCAAAGCCTAAAATTTAAAAGCTGTATAAAAATTTTAGTTAAGGAGAGGTAAAAATTGCATAGGAGGCATATCTCTAAGGGAAGAAAAAGCCAGTAAGAGATAAGGGATAAGAGTACCAGCAACAGCAGCAGAGTAGCATCCCAAGAGGAGAAAGCCGGAATCCTGAGGAAGTGCATCCCCAAATGAGCAAGAAAGAAGCAAGAGGAGGGCATCCCAAGATGAAGAAACGTGAAGCATTTGGAAGATTTAACAGACGACTATAACTCACTCCATTGAGCTGAAGTGAAGATTCCCGCACCAGGTCACCTAGTTTGTCCATGGCAGCATCCACGAGGGAGATCTTGGTGTACGGCCGCAGGAGGAGTTCCTCAGCCTTGCTATACCCGATAAACAAGAACACGCCGTGGTTCACATCGTAGTTGTCTGCCGGATCATAAAGACACTTAACACCAAGCTTGTATATTAAATCTTTTTTATTCAATTTTATTAAATCTTGTATAATTCTTAATCTAAAATCTAATTTAAAAATTTTTAAACATTAAATATTCACCAGATGATTTTTTTGTTTTAAATTGCAATGTAATGACTGGTATATTAAGTCTAACATTTGTTGTTTGATTGGTATAGTCTAGCTTTTGTTATTATTTATCTAAATGTTTTCTCTTAAGTTTGTTTTATTTTTGCTAATTTTTATGTTTTATTTGTTAATGTTCCAAAGTACAGTACTGTATGTTGAATTTTCCATTAGAGTAAGTTTATGCACGTATGTGCGCGTGTAATTACCTAAGTATTTGCTATTTTTCTGCCATGTTTCCCCTTTTATTTTTTTTTTCTCAACACAATTTATACTTTAATCTCAATTAGTATTAAGTTTTAGTCTTAGTGTTTTTCCTGCCCAAAACACTTTGCGTAATAGTGGCTTTAGGCATTCTATGTACTAGCTCTATCTATAAATCCATCAATGTTTTGTATCTCACTTTATAGGTATGTACTTTACCTGAATAAATATTTGATTTGATTTGATTTGATCACACCAGAAACAAATACCTATTTGATATTCCAAGAGTGCGACTTAACCAAACTAGAAATGCTCTACAAATCAAGGGAACCAGAATGTGGAATGACCTCCTAAATCATGTCAAAGGCTGTATCTCTCTCAACCAGTTTAAGAGTAAAATCAAGTACTACCTAATTAACTCCATGTAACCTACCTTACCCCCCTAAATATCAACCCATGACTTTTTTTTTTTTTTTTTTTTTTTTTTAAATGCTGTTTGTTCTCCAACTTGTACAACTGGTGATTTCTGCCATGTTCCCCCCCCTTTTTTTTATTCTTTTTTTTAACACAATTTATACCTAATCCCAATTACTATTAAGTTTTAGTCTAAGTGTTCCCCCCCCCCCACACCTTGCCCGATATGTTATGCGCATTAGTGGCTTTAGGTATTGTATGTACTAGCTCTATCTATAAATCCAACTTTATGTTTGTAAATCAACTATGTATGTACTTTTCCTGAATAAAGAATTTTAATTTTAATTTAATTGTAGTTACAGGACGAGAGCTACGCTCGTGGTATCCCGTCTCCCCAGCACTCTTTGTCACAACGCTTTGAAATTACTCATGGTTTTGGCCTCCACCACCTCACCTAACTTGTTCCAACCATCTACCACTATGTTTACAAAAGTGAACTTTTATATTCCTCTGGCAGCTTTGTTTCGTTACTTTAAATCTATGACCTCTTGTTCTTGAAGTTCCGGATCTCAGGAATCAATTTTATTGATTCCTGTTATTATTTCGTACGTAGTGATCATATCCCATCTTACCTCTATCTTCTAGTTTTTGCATATTTAATGCCTCTAACTTCTCCTCGTAACTCTTGTCCTTCAGTTCTGGGAGCCACTTCGTGGCATGTCGTTGCACCTTTTCCAGTTTATTGATGTGCTTCTTAAGATATGGGCACCATACAACCACTCCATATTCCAGCTTTGGTCTAACAAGTCATGAACAATTTCTTTAGTATTTCTCCATCCATGTATTTAAAAGCAATTCTGAAGTTAGAAAGTGTATCATAGGCATCTCGCACAATGTTCTTAATGTGGTCCTCAGGTGACAGTTTTCTTCTATTCAGAACAACCCCTAGATACCTTTCTTTGTCAGAATTCTTTACAGATTTCTCACATAATTTATAGGTTGAGTGGGGTCTATGTTCTCCAATTCCACATTCCATAACATGGCATTTATTCACATTAAATTCCATTTGCCAAGTGTTGCTCCATATACATATTTTGTCCAGGTCTTCTTGAAGGGCATGACAATCATCTAGGTTTCTTACCTTCCCTATTATTTTAGCATCATCAGCAAACATGTTCATATAATTCTGTATTCCAACTGGTAGATCATTTATGTAGACAATGAACATTACTGGTGCAAGAACTGAACCCTGTGGTACTCCACCTGTGACATTCCTCCAATCCGATACATTGTCTCTGATTACGGCCCTCATTTTTCTGTCATTTAGGAAATTTTTCATCCATGTTAGAAGCTTACCTGTCACCCCTCCAATAGGTTCCAGTTTCCAGAACAACCTCTTATGTGGAACTCTGTCGAAAGCCTTTTTTAGGTCCAGATAGATGCAGTCAACCCAACCATCTCTTTCCTGTAAAATCTCTGTGGCTCGATCATAGAAGCTGAGTAAGTTCCTTACACAGGATCATCCAGATCGAAAACTATAGTCTGATATTACATAATTTTTCTCCAGGTGTTCTACCCATTTAGTTTTAATTATTTTTTCCAATATTTTGACTATTACACTTGTCAATGATACAGGTCTATAATTCAGGGAATCTTCCCGGCTGCCACTTTTGTAGATTGGAACTATGTTAGCCTTTTTCCACACATCAGCTACAACTCCTGTACACAGAGATGCCTGAAAAATCAATTGAAGTGGAATACTGAGCTCAGGTGCACATTCTCTCAGAACTCATGGTGAACTCATACTGTACTTATTATTATTTGTGTTATTATGTATTACTCAGCAATGCTATAAAGGCACCAGCTGCATATCCACTTTGTGGACACTTCTTACTACTATTCTTTGTGCACTGGACAGGTGATTGCATCTCTTTATTACTGCATTATCTCTCAGTTCCAGTTAATAGGAGATGTTCTCCTTATCAACAATACATTCTTTTTAAAAAAAATTGTCTAAAATAAATTTCTGAAAATATTTTGATGAAAGTTTCACGACACTTTAGCCAATAAGTTGGAGATTTATTTAACATTTTAAAGTAATTTTTACATAATTCAAATATTTTTCGCTTCCCTGCCCCTTTTGCTGAGCTGTTCAAGGGTTAAACCTATTTCATGGAATGCGTGTTAGGTATCAATGAGTTAGCTTTTATTAGACATCAATTTTACCACTGTATAATATAACCTACAATGTCATGGTAAAATAAATGGTCATTTATTTGCATTGTTTCTTGCCAATCTAAATCACCTTAACCTAGCCTAACCCTGACTAGCCTGGCTAAACCCACTTTAGAATAACGTGACCCGAACAAAATATTTCAGAACAAACTCAGAAAACAGTATTTGTATGGGCAGTCTCTTATATCAACTTCTCTCACATTAATATAATTGTTAATAATGCTTTTTTTAGGTTAGTGTTTATTATTATTATCATTTTTATTATTTGCATAGGCCTTGATTAGGTAAAGACAGCTTTGTTTAGTTTATGTTTAAACTAATTACCAGACTCAATAGCACAACTGCAGTTAAAATACAGAGGCCAGATTCACGTAAGCACTTACGAGCCTGCACATCTTTTCTCAATCTTTGGCGGCTTTGTTTCCAATTATCAAACAATTAATGAGCTCCAAAGCACCAGGAGGCTGTTTATAACAATAACAATAGTTGAATGGGAAGTTTTCATGCTTGTAAACTGTTTAATAAAAGTAACCAAAGCCGTCAAAGATTGGGGAAAAATGTACACATTCGTAAGTGCTTGCGTAAGTGCTTTCGTGAATCTGACCCCAGTTCTGCTAACACTGCAGAAATATTAATGCTTGCTTATTACATTTGAAATTTCATTATGCAACGAGGGTTGCTAAATGTAATATTTTGCTCCTCTCATGTTACTTAACTAAACCTATTTGATTTCAAGTAGGTTTGATTATGCTATGTTTAAACCAAGGTACTTAATCTAATTTGAATAAATATTTCTTTGGTTCTTTAGAATATCGTACTTTTAACTAGGCAATATTTTTGCTCAAACCTAGTTTAGCATGATGGATAATTTCTCAGTCACTGCTAGTGTTGAACTGACCTACATATTTCTTAAAGCTATCTTTAAAAGCAAGTTCTGGAATTATGAGTTTGGTGTGGTGTCATGGTTTACAAATGCAGTTGGAGATAAACAAATACAGTATTATTTGATCTTACAAAATGCATTTGATTTTAAATCATTTAACTGTGCTAATATAAAAGCACAAACCTTAAGCAACAATTCAAGTAAGAAACTCTTGGAAAAGTTCCCCTGCCAACAGAGATACTGTATGACATTTTGAAACTAGCAACAATTTTGCTTGATTTTTCTCAATATTTTTGTTATGGTGTTAAATGAATGAATGAAGTGTGTTTAATCAGTTATGTTAGTAAACGTGTTATATTTACCCAAATTTAGGTTTAATATAACACTGCCCATGTTGAATAATATTCAAGAGTTTCTAAATATCCCTAAAAATGCCAATACAGTATGAGAATGCTACACAAGATGATAGATTATAATGCAAGTCAATCATTTTCCCTCTACTCTGTATCCTTGGCTACTTGTGAGATGATTGACCATCTTAAAAGACAACTAACCTTGCGGAGGCCTGACGCAGATGAAGGACCCTGAGTAACAAAAACACTCTCCACGGGAGGCCTGGTAAGCCGGGGCAGCGTGGGTATAAACAGCATAGCTGGTTTCACAAGGACGCGCCTCTACACACTCCAACACGCTGCATGCTAACTTCTCTTCAGCGTGACACAGGCACAATTCGGAGCACTCCTCGTCCTTGTAGAAGCGCTTGCCCCACCCCTCCTCGATGTAGTCTATGGTCTCATCGTTCGAGTGCCGCTTCTCGCAGTACTCTGTTTTGGCAGGTCAGGAGAGGTCATACCTCTGGTGGAATTGATGTTTATGCTTTTGGTGTGTATATTTAGTGGAGTGATATAATTAATTTGAACATATTGTGGTCTGAAAATAATGTATACAAGGGAAAATACTCTACCAAGACAAATTTAATGCATAGACATACACACATATGCCCAAAACGCTAAGCGGGCAAGTGGCTTTACAAGAATGTAAAACTTCAAGTCTCTGTACTCTAATAAACCCAATGTACCTTCTTGAAAATAAATAAATAAACATATGTATGTTGGAAGTAGGTTTTCATTTTGACATGTTTCACTGAATATGACTGCATATTCCATGTTGATTATTTTCTTGTTTAGGGCTTCTATTGCTCTGACTAGTGCTCTTGCATCTTGGTTTAATTGGAAGTAAATTTCTCCAAATGTCATTTGTTCAAGGTCGACTAAAAGAATAAAAATTAACTGTAGAATATATAATTTTCACATTATTGTGTTGTGTTGTTATATTTAGGTATTATGTAAATATTATTATAATTTACACAACCAAGAGTGTTGTTGGGTGCATGTAGGTCTCACAACTTCCCAACCCTCGACAGTCAGTGGCTGAGTGGTTACAGCACTGGACTGCTGGGGGCATGGAGATCCTGGCTCACCGGGTTTGAATCCTTCAGGGGTCAAGAGCTTTCAGTTGAATATTGGCTTGGGGTCACCATTCAAGCATTATTCACACATGTACATATCTATACAGTATTTATATATTATGTACATTCACATGTATACATATATAGGTATATATTATATATTACAGTACATGTATATATATTTTGTACACACACACTGGAAATACATAAAATTTAAAGTCAATAGCTAGGGTTATTATAACCTCTATCTTATATTTGTTGACTTTAATTTGAAGATTAACATTAAAATATTTAAAGTTATTACAATTACAAAATGTTTAGAGTTTAAAGTTATAATTAAATGTTGCAATTATCAAAACAGTAACACTAAATTTCTGTAATTAGGAAAACAGCAATGGCAGCATCTCATTAAAAAAAGCAATAGTGTTGTTCACATTGGAGAGAGAACTTTAGCTAATGAACTGAGTGGGTGAGCCGACTTACTTGGCGCCAGTGGGTGAGCCGACTTACTTGGCGCCAGTGGGTGAGCCGACTTACTTGGCGCCTGTGGGTGAGCCGACTGACTTGGCGCCAGTGGGCGAGCCGACTGACTTGGCGCCAGTGGGCGAGCCGACTGACTTGGCGCCTGTGGGTGAGCTGACTGACTTGGCGCCAGTGGGCGAGCCGACTGACTTGGCGCCAGTGGGCGAGCCGACTGACTTGGCGCCAGTGGGCGAGCCGACTGACTTGGCGCCAGTGGGCGAGCCGACTGACTTGGCGCCAGTGGGCGAGCCGACTGACCGACGAGCCGACTGACTTGGCGCCAGTGGGCGAGCCGACTGACTTGGCGCCAGTGGGCGAGCCGACTTACTTGGCGCCTGTGGGTGAGCCGACTGACTTGGCGTGGGCGAGCCGACTTACTTGGCGCCAGTGGGCGAGCCGACTTACTTGGCGCCAGTGGGCGAGCCGACTGACTTGGCGCCAGTGGGCGAGCCGACTGAATTGGCGTCAGCGGGTGAGCTGACTTACAGTAATTGGTACCAATGGGTGAGCAGACTTACTTGGCGCCAGTGGGTAAGCTGACTGGCATCCGTGGGTAACTGGACTTACTTGGCACTATTGGGTAATTGGACTTGGCACCAGTGGGTAATTGGACTTGGCACCAGTGGGTAATTGGTACTTGGCACCAGTGGGTAATTGGACTTACTTGGCACACGTGGGTAATTGGACTTACTTGGCACACGTGGGTAATTGGACTTACTTGGCACACGTGGGTAAGTGGACTTACTTGGCACACGTGGGTAAGTGGACTTACTTGGCACACGTGGGTAAGTGGACTTACTTGGCGGCAATGTAGTAGTAGGTATCGTAGTGGTGGTGGGTGGCGTGGGTGGTGGTGTGGGCGGCGGTCGTCGTGGGTAGGAGTTAGTGTAGGGAGGCGTGAATTGAGAGCTGGAAGTGGTGGCGGAGGGAGGGTGGATGACTACTCCAGGCCGGCCTATAATGGGACTCTTGTCAGGTCCGTTCTGGACCGGCTCGAGGGGAACCCCCATGGTTACGATGGGGGTGTAAAAGATGTTGGCAGTGGTAGTGACCACCTCCCCAGGACCCAGGGCAGCCAGCATCTCGCGGTGGTAGTCCGTCTGGGACTCGACTGTGAGAAATTAGTGTTTAAATATGTCACATTGGTTATAGAATTGTCTCTAAATTCACGTATTTGCTAACTGTAGGTAGTAACTGAGTGATTGTAACCTATCCACCGCTGCCCACTGGATGGGGGGGCGGTGTGCAGGACAAACATATCAATTTTGACACTAGCTCTCCACATATGTCAGTTGCTGAATTTAGAACCTGTACTTGAGGTCGATCTCGAACCCATTGTTGATGTGACGACTTATATTGAATTTTGTAACTAGTTCATCAAGATTGTAACTTGCTTAGCTAAATGAAATGTGGGGGTTCAGTCCCTGAGCCCATTATGTGCCTCTGTAACCCTTTCCACTTTCACGTACAGTACTAATCTAATCTTAAATGGGTTACGTATTTTGTAAAGCAAGTATTTAAGAATACGATACAAAAAAGGCATGCATGTGTATAATTACCTAAAGTGTAGTTATAGGATGAGAGCAACACTCGTGGTGTCCCGTTTTCTGTTATATATAACGGCTTTGAAACTGCTAATGGTTTTGGCCTCCACAACTTTCTCACCTTTCAGGTATTCCTTTTTTGTACATTTGGTTTGATTCCTGTTTTTATTTCTGTAAGTGGTGATCATATTGCCTCTATTTCTTTTTATCTTCTAGCTTTGGCATATTTAACGCCTCTTCCCTCTCTTCGTAACTCTGTTTACAGTTCCGGAAGCCATTTTGTAGCATGCCTTTGCAACTTTCCCAGTAGGTATATATGCTTCTCGAGATATGGGCACTATACACGGGGGAGACATCTCCCGGCTCTAGGGTGCAGTCGCACCTCCACAGATCTCCAGTATCAGCTCTTGATACTGGTAATGGCTCAAAAGGGCCACCACTTACGGGCTATTCATGCCCGTGCCACCTTTTCGGTGGCTTAATCTTCATCAATCAATCAATGGGCACTATACAACAGCCTTATCTTTCTTTTCCCTCCTGGCTCCTTGCTCCCTTCCTTACTCCCTCCCTCCCTTCCTTTGTATCCTCTTTTTCCTTACCCCCCCCCCCTTAATCCCTCCCTATAAGCAAATCCTACCCTGCCTCTGAATGTCAGCTATCCTTCCTCCAGACATGCACTTACCAACGCATGGGTTAAACCACAGGATGCGCTGCCAATCCATGCAGATGTAGGTTTCCCTGGGGTCGGAGGCGGAGCATGTGCACAAGCTGCGAAGTTGAGTGCCCAGGATACCCAGCACCGCCCGCCGGCACTCTGCAGTCGAGCCAGCACACCTGCGAGTGTCGCTGTCCACTGCACACGCTTGCTCGTAGAACTCCAGTCGGTGCCTGCAAGGGAGAGAGATGTAACTAGTCCACCAAGCAACAGCCTGGTGGACAAAACTCTCACAAGTCAAGTCTGGCTCTGGGCCGGGCTTGGGGAGTAGAACTCCCAGAACCCCATCAACCAGGTAGCTTGTGGCAAACTAGTTCATTCATCAAGCAATCAATACTCGAATAAAAACGGAACTAATTTTTGAACAGACTGGCACTTTTAATAGACAATTTTGAATACCAGTTAAATTAAAAGTTAATTCTTTAAACATTAGGCTATGCTAGCAAATGACAGGTTATTTGAACAAGTAACTGTAATTGATAAATATTTGAATAACGAGCAATGAAAACATACGATGAGGACCATCTTACTATCACTGGTAAAGGTAACGTTGTCTCAGGAGAGCCTGTCTACATCAAGTAATGTCGCCCAAATTTTCACTGCTGTTCACCACAAATCCAGAATCATTTATAGGTTAACGGTAAGCAACAAGGGGGGGGGGGGTTAGCTAGACCGAGAACGTGGCTCGATTGTAACACCAGTGTGGGTAGCAGTGGTTTATTGGTGACAAAAACCCCGATTGCATGGAGTCAACACCAACCAGACGACTTTTTTTTAACAACGATTTTGAAAGCTACAACACCGTAGTTGTCAACCTATGGTTCGTGAAACCTGGGGCAGTCATAGATGCTAATACCACACTGATCACCCACCTGGCGTCACAGCAAGGAAAACTTTGTATGACGACACTCCTCATTGTTAATGAAAGACCTAAGTATTTACCATTCATCTTGCACAAGCACTCAAGCATGGCTTGCCCATGAAGCATAGGTCGGTTTGATTCGCCTGCCACTACCTGTACAATTTATTTATTTATTTATTTATTTATTTATGCATATACAAGAATGTACATAAGGAATGTGAGGATACAAATATGGTAATTATAGTCTTGTAAAGCCACTAGCACGCGCAGCGTTTCGGGCAGTTTGTGTATAATTTCGTTTGTGTATAATTCGGGCAATTGGAGGCTGAATCTTGGGCGACTGAAGAGTATTCCAAACTTGTTCAACACTGTTCAACGATGTTCAAGAAAAATTCAACATGGAGAGGTTTGTGAGGAGTGCCACCGAGTATAAGGAACGTGTCTGTGAATTACAATACACATAGTGAAGAAGGCTCCTGGTAGTACAGTCGGGTTCGCTCTCGACGCACAATGAAGATATCCTGGTTCGAATCCCGGGTGGGACAGAAATGGTTGACCATATTTCCTTTCACCTAATGCGTCTGTTTACCTAGCAGTAAGTAGGTACTCAGGAGCTAGTCAGGTCATTGCTGGGTTGCATCCTGGGCGGGGGTCAGTAATTCGACCTTAATTCCTTGACCTTGATATAAGCCTAACATGTATAAATACACTCTGACTTCCTGTACTCCGACACAATGAATTATTATATACCACGTTTAAGAGATAATTATATTTAAGCATGCAAATTATTCCAGAGATGTATCCCGACTGGAACTTCTGTAATTCTTTGTAATTGCAGCAGTATCAGGAAGCTATATAGTGAAAAAAGTCCCCAATAAAGAATTAAGACAGTGCCCCTTGAGAGGACCGAGTATCTTTCAGTGGGACTATTATAAGTCACTCTAGTTTTGTGTATAACGATTCATAAAGTAATAATAAATCCCCCAAACTGCATACACAGAATTAAGCACGGAATAAATTGTTGCGTTAATACACAGTTTTATCTCTCAACCTACCTCCATCAAACCAAAACTCGTCCCCATCTGGGAATGATTTATATTCAAGCAAAACATGTGCAAATTTGATGTGAGCTGACACACACACTCCCTGCCCATACCCAGAGAGATTATGACCAATAACCCGGCACAGTTCATTTGGACGCTCATGTGACCCGCTGAGGGAACAGACACCTCTCCAAGGGTGACACACAAGAGCTGTGTTTTGCCGTTGTAAAGGCTTTTGTTCCTTTATTAATCTGTGGGGCCTATAGGGCATATTGCAAACTGGTGACATTGCACGCAGAGGTAGTCAGGAAAAAGTGAAGTTCAAACACTTCTCTTGGGTCAAATGCCTTTGCGAAGGCATATAGTATGCCAGACCCCATATAGGGTGTAGTACCAAGTCAGTCAGTTGGAAGTTCAGAGAGAGCCGAGAGATGAAGCTCTACCCGGGTACAAGGACAGGAAAAAGTGGATGAGGGGAATAGTGGGAAAAAAATTAAGAGTGAAGGGTAGAAGAGAGGAGTAGGAGAGGATCCACTCAGCTGATCGTATAGAGGGAGCTGTGTGCACAATTGGCGAATCACTCAACAGGCACCGAGGAGAAGGTAGGCTAGTGCCTTAATGGGGAGAGAGGGGTACGTGGTTGGTGGTGAGGGGAAGGGGTAAATGTTAGGAGGAAAGAAGACAGGAATAAGAAAACATCAGAGAGGGAGGACTGTCAGGAAAGGAAGGTAGAGAAGATAGCCCAGGTAGAGAAGATAGCCCAGGTAGGAAGACAACCCCAGATGGAAAGAGGTAAGGCAATTACGTCATCAACATCTCATCATCTTGTGTGGTTTGGTCATCAATTATGAGATGATGCTAAGCCGCAATGATTATATAACACTTGGAAGAGATAGGAGGGCAAGGAGCTGTGATATAAAGACGGGGTGAAGGAACGGTGACCAACCACTTGGACCATCGGGGATCAAACGCTGACCCTGCAAGAATCAAGGCCGTTGCCCTACCCACCAGTCCAAGTGGGTGGCTCCAGAGGTGAGAGATGACTGACCTGCAGCCAATGTCTTCCTTGCAGGCAGCTGCCAGGCGGTTACACCGCATGGGCACGGGTCCAGCGGTCTTGCGGGCACAGGATGGGTGCAGCTTCTCCTGCGCTATCAGGCACTCGTTCGCGGTCAGGCTGCTCTTCCTGTTACATTACACACAGGAAATCAGTGATGTGTGTGTGTGTATTACACAGAGGAAATCAGTGAGAGTGAGTGTGAGTGAGTCTGTTTTCTTGTAATCACCCGAGTAATTACCTAAGTGTAGTTACAGTGTGAGACCTACGCTCGTGGTGTCCCTTCTCCTCAGTACTGTCATGTGTCTTACTCTGAAACAACTAGCAGTTATGGGCTCGCCACTACCTTGGTTTACTCAGGTTCAAGTATGTTTATTAAGACACGAAATAAATACATCTCAAAGTGATAGAGTAGTTTAGGCTATTTCTACCTAATGGTCTACCTACTCTGTTTACTTCAATAGTCTACCACTCTGTTTACAAAAGTGAACTTTATAATGCTTCACGAGATATGGGCACCATACAACCGCTGCATATTCCAATTTTGGTCACACAAAAGGTTGTGAACAATTTCTTTAATATTTTGCCATATATTTAAAAGCACTTCTAAAGCTGGAAAGTGCAGCACACACTCATCACACAATGTTCAAATCAAATCAAATGTTTATTCAAGTAAAAGTACATAAGTGTTCTTCATGTGATCCTCAGATGACAGTTTGCTTTTCAGAACTACTCCTAGATCCCTTTATCAGAATTCTTTAAAGCTTTTTCACAAAATTTGTAGGTTGTGTGGCGCCTATTATCTCCTATTCCACATTCCATAACATGACATTGTTTCACATTAAATGCTTTTTGACAAATGTTATTCCATACACTTAATTTGTCCGGGTCTTTCTGTAGGGTATGGCAATCGTCTACGTTTCATATTTTTCTTAGTAGCTTGGCATCTTTAGCAAGTTTTAGCGTTTTGTAAGTGAGCAGCTGCTTGCTTGTCGAGAACAGAGGCCCCCCAGTCTGCGGGCAGAGCTTATATAACACTGGCTCGTTGCGCGCGCAGCTTGGGCGGTTAGACTCAGCTCCCAGACCTACGTTTTCCTTCCCCTCAGAAAACTCACCGCTTTTTTGGGAAAAAGCAGTGTATTTATATTTCTGTATTCCTTCTGATGGATCCTTTATACAGAATGCACATTACTAGTGCTAGAACTGAATCCTGTGGTATTCCACTACCAACATTTCTCCCGTCTGATACATTGTCTGTGATTACCACCCTCATCTTTCTGTCAGAAAACTTTTCGTTAATTTATCTTCATCAATGTATGTACTTTTAAATGAATAAAAATTTGAATTTGATTTTGAATTTGACTAATTTCTCTCCAGGTGTTCTGCCCGTTTGCATTAAATTATTTTTCTTAATGTTTTGACTACGATCCTTGTCATCGTGCATCTGAGTGCATGTACTCACCTAGTTGTACTCACCTAGTTGTGTTTGCGGGGGTTGAGCTCTGGCTCTTTGGTCCCGCCTCTCAACCGTCAATCAACAGGTGTACAGATTCATGAGCCTATCGGGCTCTGTCATATCTACACTTGAAACTGTGTATGGAGTCAGCCTCCACCACATCACTTCCTAAACACAGGCACTTCATGTGCCTGTGTTGATGTGCACGTAAATTGAGTATATGTATAGTGTATTTTGTCAATATGTTCATATTTACCTTTTATTTACTCACACCTTTTCTTTATTTATATAAACGTTGACAGATGAGAGACATAGAAGTTAGTGATAAATAGAAAGAGAGGGAACCAACGAATATCAGATTTGAGAAATATTTTAATTAATGCACTCCACCAAATATTTACCCGAGGACCAATAACACTATAATAGTGGCCTCGACGTGGACAGGAAGCCGGTGGCTTGTCGAAGGTGAACATAAATATAAACATTTTAAGGAAATGTCAAGTTACAGGATGAATAAATGAAATTAAGAGGTTCGGTGTGTGTGTGTGTGTGTGTGTGTGTGTGTGTGTGTGTGTGTGTGTGTGTGTGTGTGTGTGTGTGTGTGTGTGTGTATAAGAGAGCAAAAAAAAAAAAAAAAAAAAAAAAAAGAGGAGAGAGAGAGAGAGACTCACTTGCATAGGCAGAAGGCAACTTCAAGGGCCCACTTGGACTCAACATTCCTGTAGAAGGTGACCAAGTTGCTCATGCAGGCCTCTCTGTTGCACTCGTTATCACACATGGCCAGCACGGGGTCCAGGAGCCTCCTGCAGGTGGGCTCCGTGATACAGCCGGTCAGAGCCGTCTGGCAGGTGGAGTGGAGAACAGGTACGGACCCAGAGGGCGAGGTAGCGTGACCTGAGGGTAGCGGGGTGGTCCTAGGTCAGAGCAGGTCACGGAGGGCGGTCAGGGAGAGACTGGCACTTGGGTAAAGGCATGGAACACCGCAGCCGTGGTGGTAGTATTAGTGGTGATGGTATACACAGTAACAAGTGGTAGGATCTCAAGTTAGATTGTAGCATTGTTAGGTAATTCAACTAGGTAAGAAACCCAGCTAGCTAGGAAAGCCAAGAAGCTAGGAACCGCAGAATGTGGGAACATGTGGTGCAAAACACCAAGAAACACTTAAGGGGCAATATAAGGATCCTATGAGCAAGATAATGCTGATACAAGAGCAATTAGTCTCACTCGACCACCAACTGCCATGTTTATCTTCATAACTAAACCGATAAGCCACAATGGCTAACACCAAACATAACCATTCAAGATCTCACGATGCTCCCACCTGGCAATGACCCATTCTCTCAACAAACGTTGAGAGAACCTATTTCAATATTAGTGCATCTTGTCAATTAATACTTCGTATGTCTTTTACTACATCCTATGCTGATGCTTGCTCCGGTTAATCCTCCTTGCCACCCTATGATCGCCCCTCCCCCACCATTCACACTACTAGTAGTGTTTTTGTAACGATGAATTGTGATGATAATGTGTGATGATATTCTGAAGAAAATAATACTTATAATGCCGACGTTCTCGCCACATGAGGTTTGCCTATGTCATCATAATTTGTGCATACCTAATACAAACAATGTCATTAAACACAACAGCACTGCGACTTATTATTTTTCTTTTGGATATTTTCCATTCTACGTAAATATCGTCTACCATCTGAAGGGCGAAGAAACACTAGCTCACTTAATCTTTCCATTATTATTATTATTGGTCGACGTCATGTCAGCAATGTAACATCTTCAGGAGTACACTGTTGAAGTGACACAGGTATACTGAGCTTACAAGATTATTTGTTGTTTTAGATTCAGCTACTGGGAACAACAAGTTCCAAGTAGTACAGTAAGTTACAGTAAGTTGTAACAGCTTACAAGGAGAAAGCTCGACATTTAGAAGTGTAGGTACACCTCGCTCTACTATTCACCTAACAGGGAAGACAGAAGAGATGGGGAAGTGACACGAAGACGACGGGTAGGAGACCGGGAAGGAAGGGAGGGGGGAGGAACCACGAGGAAGACCCTCAATTTCAGAACGTAGAGAAGGCGGCGGGGAGGTGGTGGCGGTCTCGGGGTCTAAGACCTGGAAACGGTTGCAGAACTAAGAAAGTGGGGAAGCGTGAGAAATGGCACTCAACGCACGAGCCCAAGATATGCTAGAGAAAGGAGGGGGAAGACTGCGAACTTTGCGTCTCACCTCGGGGGGAAACATTATTGAAGATGGCTTCAATACACTCACACATGTGAGGGAGAAGGCAGGGTGGGCGTCACCGTGATTGGTGCAGTGAGCTTGGAGACAAGTGCACTCTCTTAAAATGACCAAAGACTACACAAGGTGCTCAGACATCTCACTTGCACACTTGAAGAGACCACGTCCAAATCTGCAGCACTTATTACAGTCGAGGAGGGGGATGTATTCTTGAGCGGACCATCCGGCAGCTGCAAGAATTACAAAACACAAAAAGGACCTACTATCAAAAATTATTTTTATTACGTGAAGGGGCAGACGACGACCACGGGGGTCGAGTGAACATACCGGTCTGGAGGACAAAATGCCCTTGGGTCTAAACGATATATTTAATATCCTCGTGGCAATTTCTGAGTTGCGACATGGCGCGGGAGAATAACTCTGCCAATGAAAGCCAGTGAAAGAGCTTCCGTCTTACGACCGTGGTGTTGGCAGTTCGAGTCTCCTAGTGCCAGGTGAATGAAATGTTAGTGTGGCATTTAACAGGGTATTTTTGGAGATCCAAACTGGGATCTTCATTGTACTCGTTGTCTCACTAATGCAGGACAATGTAGCCAGGCAGTCGGCTGCCTCTTGAGAAGGGGCTGCAACTACACATATACCAGCTAGTACGGGTGGGGTTAAAACTGACAAAAGTATCCGCTGAATCAACTAGGTGTTTATGGATGAATAAGTAAGTAATTATCAAAAGAAGATACCAAACTGGGAAGGCTATGTAGCACCATCAAATGTGCGGAATAATCATAGGGTACTAAATGCCAATAAGGATGCCAATATGAGAACAGAAACCAACAAGGCAAACGATATCAAAGGTATCCGATTCACCAAGAATTCTATGGAGGGACAAGTGACCATGAGGGACGGTCGGGAAGCAAAACACGCACATCCAGGAAGTCAAGACATCCAACAAGGATATGCACGACTGTAAAAGGGACAATGCAGTTTGGACAATAAGGAGCAGGGCGGCGCTCCATTAAGTTCCTGCGAGTTAAACGTGTATGGCCAATACGTAACCTCGCCAGAGCCGTTTCCCACCACCGGTTACGGGGTAGGAAGGAAGGCTACGGGGGGACACTACTCTTAAGAGGACGCAGTTTGTTACCAGTAACAGAAGACCAACAACTCTGCCAACGGGCAAGGATGGAGGAATGAATAACTGAGTAAAAGTCGGAATAAGGAATACCATTATGGGAGATGCAACAAGAACGGATAGCCTCCTTAGCGGCAGCGTCCGCACGCTCATTTAAGGATACACCAATATGGCTGGGAACCCAGCAAAATTCCACGTCTTAAATCTGCTGGAGATAAACAGCCAATGTTGAGTCTCAACTACCTCTGGATTGACTGGATTAAGGACTCCAGAGCCATGAGTTCACTGCGAGTCAACAACAAAGGAGGATTGAAAGCGAGAATGCAGTTGGACGAAGAGAATAGTAGGATCACAGAATAGCATAAAGTTCTGTCGTGAAGATGCAAGTCTCCGGAGGCAGGCAACACATATAGGTGTGGTCATGAAAAACAACAAAGTAGCCTACACCATCTGCAGACTTAGACCCATCAGTGAAGACGGAAGTGGAGAGAGAGTGTGAAGAAAAGTGTTCAAGGAGAAGGCGTTTCAAAACTGTAGAAGTAAAAGCTTTAGTCACCTGGGTCAAGGTTTTACAAAATGTAGGAAGGGGGACCCTCCACGGGGGCAAAGACCGAACGACACAAGGGAAAATATGGGTAACACGAACCAAAAGAGCATTTTGTATGCATACATAAAGAGGTAGATGGTGAAGGAGAACCGAGACAAAAGGAGGCACAGAAGTCAAAGCACAACATAGGTGAGAGGGTATCGTAAGGACCGTGAAAGGTAGCGAAGACTGAGAGGACTGCCGTGACTGCGATCACGGCAGTCCTGGAGACAGGACGCTGGTTTTGACATACAGGCTGAGGGTGGGAGTCGAACGGAAGACACCAGAGCTGAGACGTAACCCAATATGGTGCAGAGCGTCAAGACGGCGAAGGGTAGAAGGAGAAGCAGTCGAGTAAGCAGGGCGACCATAATCGAGTTTAGACAGAACGAGAGAGGAATGTAAAGAGAGGAGCGTGCGCCTGTCTGCTCCCAAAGAAGTATGGTCCAAGACCTTAAGGGGGTTAAGGCCCTTAGAGCATTCAACTCGGAGGTAAGACATATGGGGGCGACCAAGACAGTGTCAAAGATTAACCCCAAAAGCTTTGCAGAATCTTTGTACACAAGGGGATGACCAAAAGCAACAGACGGACCAGGAACAACCTGTTTGAGTAAAAGTCATAGCACAAGTCTTAGTTGTAGAGAACTTGGAGCCATGATTGGTGGCCCAAGACGACACAGCATCAATCGCAAGTTGAAGCCGTCATTGAAGGAAATGAGAGTCATCTCCCCGACAGCAAAGGGTAAGATCATCAACATGAGCGCTGAGAAGATGCAAGTGAGAAGGGAGGAAAGAAGACAACTGAGAGCAACAAGGAAAAAGAATAGTGCTCAGAACACCACCTTGGGGCACACCCTCGTATTGACGAAAAGAGGCAGAGAGAGTGGTACCAAGCCTCACTCTAAAGGAACGACTACAGAGGAAGCTTTTTCGGAACAAAGGGAGATTACCACAAAGGCCAAAAACCGGAGTTTGGACAGAATATGGGATCTCCAGGTAGTGTCGTATGCCTTTCCCAGGTAAAACAAGACAGCAACAACGGAGGTCTTCACAGCAAAAGCAGTACCAATATAGTCCTCAAGTTCACCAAGACATCAGTTGTGCTGCGGCACTTGCGAAAGCCGAATTGAGAAGGGAAGAGGTAGTGATGGTGTTCCAAGAACCACATCAGACGGACACTGACTATACATTCAAGGAGTTTGCAAACAACTCGTGAGGGCAATGGGGCAGAAGTCCTTAGGGAATATCCCTAGAGACCCTGGTTCCAAATAGGAAGAACCATCACCTGGAGCAAGTCCTCGGGGAGTGATGATTCCCAAATACGGTTATACAGCTTTAGTAAATACCAAGACGTGCATGGAGGGAGATGGCGAAGCATCTCAATGTCATCTGAGCCCGCTGCTGTAGAACTGCAGAGAGCCAGGGCAGACTGAAGTTCAGGGAGAGAGAAGGGATAGTTATAGGGAAGTTGAAGATAAGTGCAAAAGTCTAGGGGAGAAGATTCAAGAATGGACTTACAATTACAGAAAAACCGAGGAAGATGAGAACCGGAGCTAACAGTCGAAAAGTGGGAACCTAGTTCGGTCGTGATCCCCCACCGGATTTACCACAGCAGTACCACGGAGGTGAAGGACTGGCGAGACATCCGGAACAAACTTACCTGCTATCTTGCTGATTTTCTTCCATATATGGGGCAGAGGAGTATCGGACATGATTTTCCAACTCTCACGTTTAGCTGTACGGATGGTCTCGTCTCCCGCTGTAAAGCTTACAGCGGACAGCCCATGCACAGTCTGCATTCCACCAGGAAACGCACCTCCTCGTGCCACGGGAGGTATAGCGAGGAATAGAGAGGGGGGGGGGCACCAAATATGGTGTCATGAAAAAGGAGGAAGGCTCGAGGGAGAGGCAGAGTGGA